ATTTTGAGTTTCTTTCTCAAACTTTCCACTTTCCCAGGACAGAGTTGTCATTTTTCTTCCTTTAATAGCTTATTTGTTATCCTTACATTCCTTTATAAATGCAGAAGTTATTATATTTTTATCCTGCCTTTTTTATATATAACTCAAGGCAGTAAACATACCTGATACTCCTGCCTTCTATTTTCCCCACAACAACAACCCTGTGAGGTGGGTTGGGCTGAGAGAGAGTCACCCAGCCAGCTTTCATGCCTATGGAAGGCCTAGAACTCACAGTCTCCTGGTTTCATACCTGATACTCCTGCCTTCTATTTTCCCCACAACAACAACCCTGTGAGGTGGGTTGGGCTGAGAGAGAGTCACCCAGCCAGCTTTCATGCCTATGGAAGGCCTAGAACTCACAGTCTCCTGGTTTCTAGTTCAGCACCTTAACCACTGCACCAAACTGGCTCTCATGAAATTGTTATGGCAAGTTTCAAACCTGGACTGTATATCATTGCTAAAGAAATGTGCAGCATGTGCAGACTATTATACAATATCTTTAATTTCACATGCTGGTGAAATAATGCTTTGGATCATTTAATACAGATTACAAATATGCATGGAAAGGAAAATGCTAGATGTTCTGGCTGGTATTAGAAAAGGCTGAGGAACCAGAGATGTTATTGTTGATGCACACTGGATAATTGAGAAAGCCAAAGAATGCCCAAAAGAAGTCAATATGTGCTTAATTGATTATTGAAAGTGATTGTGTTGGCCATGTCAAGCTGTAGAATGTGCTTAGGAAATAATCATCATCTCGTCCTCATGTGAAACCTAAGTATAGGACGAGAAATCCCAGTCCAGATAAAACCAGGTGAAATAGACCAGCTCCAGATTGACAAAGGAGTGAGACAAGGCTGTATACTCTCCCTCTCAATGTGTATATTGAATATACATTGAGAGAGGCTGGATTGGAGGAAGATGAACATGATTCTGAAATTGGAAAAAGAAACAATAACTGGCAGTATGCCAGTGACACAACTCTGATAGCTGAAAATGCTGTGATGTGTCTATACTTACAAAGGTCAGAATCACACAGACAATGGTTTTCTCTTTGATACTCTATAAAAGCAAAAGTTAGATTCTGAAGAAGCAGGATGGAAAGAGTATTGATGCTTTTGAACTTTGGTGTTGGAGAAGACTCTTTGAAAATACCATGGATAGCTAAGAAAATAAATAAATGGATTGTAGAACAAATCAATCCACCTGAAGCACAAATGACAAGGCCTAGATTATCATATTTTGGGCACATTATGCGAAGACCCAGCTCCCTTGAGAAGCTCATACTGCAGGCAAAGGTGGAAGGAAAGAAAAGAGGATGACCAGTAACAAGGTAGATGGATTTCATTACAGTGGTGATGGGTGCATCTTTGGAAGATCTAAAGGGCCAGGTTGGGAATGAATCATCCTATCTACGTGGTTGCTAAGTGTTGACACTAACTTGATGACACCTAATCAATCAACCAGTACACTGTCACTAGCTACTTTTCATAGAACAATTTGTGTCAAACTCCTGAAGGTCTTAAACAAAAAATAGCTCTTAAGTTTGTCTTTGAGGTTTAATTCATCTCAGGTCTAAGGAAAGTTTATTTTATGAAATTAAGATAGCAATATTGGACCTTTTAGCCATTCAGCTGGAATATTCACAGGTACAACATGAATCTCTGCATCACTAGCTATGCAAATTATTTTTGTTGCTCAGTCGTTAAGTCGTGTCCGACTCTTCGTGACCCCATGAACCACATCGTGCCAGGCCTTCCTATCCTTCACTGCCTCCCAGAGTTTGCTCAGTTTCATGTTCATTGCTCCAGTGATGCTATCGAACCATCTCATCCTCTGCTGTCCCCTTCTCCTCCTTTTACCTTCAATCTTTCCCAGTATCAGGGCCTTTTCCAAAGAGTCCTCTCTTCGCATTAAGCGGCCAAAGTATCTGAGCTCGAGCTTCAGTATCAATCCTTCCAATGAGCAGTCAGGGTTGATTTCCTTTAGGATTGACT